AAAAAAAAAAAAAAAAAAAAAATGCAGCTGCCTGCAGTTTTTTGTACAGGCTAAGGTATTTCCGAGCCTTATTTGCAGCACTTTTTTTAACTTCTAAATTACTCTTTTACTCTGTACAGCTGGTTCTCATTATTTTTGGTAGTTATATTCTAAAAAGTCACCACAAAAACTAAATTAGCAAATACTGAACTTTTGTGCCTAGGGGATGTACTGGGTTAGGGTCCTAAAAGCCACTGGTCACATTTTTATCAGCCGATCAGTACATAACCTGTTTTTTGCGTGTTGCTACTTAAAGACCCCTTATTTAATGCATGTAATGTATATTGTGGATTCATTAACATAGAACTCAGCCAACAGCTCTTTACCTGAATTTTTGTTTTGTTTTTTGAGACTGGGTCTTGCTCTGTCACCCAGGCTGGAGTGCCATGGTGTGATCATAGTTCACTGCAGGCTCAAACAATCTTCCTGCCTTGACCTCCCAAAGTGCTGATATCACAGCCCTCTTATGCTTAGGAGCAATACTAAACAGGATTTTTTTTGTAGAGACAGTGAGCAGGGAAGGTCTCACTATGTTTCCCATGCTGGTCTTGAACTCCCGGACTCAAGCGATCCTCCTGCCTCAACCTCCCACAGTGCTGACATCACAGCCCTCTTGTGCTTAGGAACGTTAAACAGCACTTCAGCACTACAACTGGGTGCCATTTTAAATAGTAAAATCACTAAGGAAAATGCGAAAATAAATGGCACAAGATAGACCGCAAGAATACGTTTATAGTGTGAGGGCTGAAACTGCGGAGTGTCACTTTGTTCAACCTCAGCTGGGAGCATGCGCCTCTGGGTACTCGACATTTTCACCACTTTGCATGTCAGCAAATGACTAAAAGTACCACAAGTGTTGGTTTGGGGGTTACGTGTACATTTTACGAGAATGCAAATTTTGCAAATTCACAGGTACAGAATCGGCAAGTAATGAAAATGAACGGCACACCTTCAGCCTCCAGTCTTGCTACACCCAGAGGTGGACAAAATAAGTCCTGTTATCTCCATCTCCAGAATGTACCCAGAATCCAGCCACTTTCGGCTGCAGGAATGCTGCTCTGATTCACCATTCTCTCTCACTTGGACTATTGCAGCAGCCTCCTAAATGGTCTCCCTGCTTCCTCTTCATTTCCCACTGTCAATTCTCCAGCAGCAGCCACAGCGATCCTTTCAAAATGTAAAACTGCTACTGCACAGCCTGCTCAGAACTCTCCAATGGCTTCCCATCTTGCTCAGTAAAGGTCAAATTCTTTGCACTGGTTCACGAGGCACCCCGCATTCTGGTCCCCTGCTACCTTTTCTACCATGTGCTTCCTTCCTCACTCATTCCCTGACTGTGCCAAGCCCCCCTGGCATCACTTGCTAATGCTTCTGCCTTGGGAATGCTCTTCCTGGGTCTCTATTGCCCACTGCCTCATCTCCAGGTCTCTGCTTGCATGTCACCTTTTTTGGGCTATTTTTGCGAAGGAGCAATCTCTTTCCCCTGCACACTCACATTTTCTGCTCCCTGTACCGTGCTGAGTTTTTCTCCATAGCACCCATCACCAGCTGGCATATTTGTTTACTGTCTGTCTCTCCGTCTGGAATATAAGCTTCCAGAGCAGTGCTTTGTTTTCATTCAATAGCTGTGTCTCAGCTCCTAAAACTGAAACTGGACTTGTTAGGCAGCAAGTAAATACTGATGAATGAATAAATACCCTGGATATGCTGGTGTGAAATCCTAAAAATACCCACTTTCCATCCAGATCAATAGCACTGGTGGATTTTTTGTATCCTGATCACCTCTGCAACACTTGCCTCAAGCTAGGACAACTTCTTCAAAGGCGACAGTGGATAAGACAGCCCAGTTTATCTTTCCGCCACATTAGGAAAGTCTTCAGAATTTTCCCTTAACTTGCAAATTTCAACGTATTCATTCTTCTGTTGAAATGAATTCATACTGAGGGGAAAAGCCAAAGATAGGAGGTGAGGCAAAGCCGACTCTATAACTCTGTTTTTTCCCTGCTATAGGATTTGGGTGCCTAGTCTAGATTCTCTCACAGCCCCACTTTGCTCTGCTCTGTGGCATATTTTTAACCCAAGTGGCAGGGCTGTTTGGTTTCCAGAGAGTTGCCTGATGCATCCCAAATATTGCCTTAGCAATACTCATCTGAACAGGGGCCCTTCACTAACAGCAAGTATTTCATCCATCTGGGCAAAACTCGTGGGTTTTCACAGGGACCCTACCAGCTCAGAAGCACCTTGATATAAATAAGTAGAAAACCAAAGACAGCGAAGTTTTAAATCTTGAGTCAAAACTTTAAAATCAAAGTCAAGTTGATTTCATTTTGGCAAGCTTTCAAATCTTGCTTTTAAAAATAAATCATGTAGAAAAATCATGTACTCCTGTGTATAATTTTATTTCTGGTGTTTTTCTTAATCAGAAAATTAAGGAAGACTCTGGAATTTTTACAGTCTAGCACTTTGAAATTTTCATGAGAGTGTTTGTTTCAGCAGTGCAAAAAATATTCCATACTCTGAAAAACAAAACCAAAAAGTTGATTCATTCCTTTATTGGACACTTACCATGTTCCTGATAATTTTAGGTGATGGGGATATATGGATGAGTAAGACATGTCCTCATCTCTTAACTTGAAGCCTTGCAGGAAAAGCAGGGCTATAATCAACCACTTAATACTGTGGAGGAGTGCTAGACTCCAGGTAGCTGGGTGCTAAAGGCTAGGGAGTAAAGACAGAAGGAACTGTATGTGCGAAGAAAGGCTTAGCAATGGGAAAGCTTCACTGTCACCGAGCAGAGCTAGAGAATAACGTGCTGGGGGAGTAAGAGATGAGGTCGGAAATGTACATGGGATGCGAAGACAGCTCTGCAGGTCTTGAGGTTTGTGCTCTATGCAATGCAGAGGCAGCTGAGATTTTTAGTAAATTAGAAAAACAATTACTCTGACTCATTTAGAACAATGATTCTGGACGCCCAGAGACGGACTAGGTGGGAGGAGACAGAAGGCAGGGAGGTGAGTTAGGAGGCTGCTGAAGTAGGCAAGGAAGAATGAGGGTGTAAGACTGTGTAGTGAAGGAAACAGGAGGAGGGGAAGCTGCCACTGAGTGACGGAGGAGAGAGGAGGGGATGCCAGGGGCGTCAAATTCATCAAGTAGTCACAATCTGATCTAAAAAGGCACTCAGTGAACATGAAGAACTACTCTTCAGTTTTCCTAATGTCTTTCTGCTACTGTTGTTATAACCTGAAACCAAATAGAGTTACTATTCCCCGTAGGGAAGAATTCTATAAACAACATCGTATATCAAAGATTGGGGTAAACCCAGGTCAAATGGTTTTTTCCCTTTTTCTTTTAATTTGTATTCTTGTGTGCACTGTCTGTTCATCTGTTTTGCCCAATTTCTATCAGAGACTTTAACTTTCCAAAAATTCATTTATGAGTTCCTTTAAGGATAGTTCTTTGTCATCTATGTTACAATTTTTTTATTGCGGCATTTGCATTTTTATTTTGTTTTTGATACTCACATACCAAAAGGTTGTTTTGTGTTTATGTAGACAAAGCTATCATTTCAAGTTTGTGTTAGTACAATGCACATAAAGATATTCCCCATGCCAAAGGACATCAACATTATTCTAGTAAATCTATGGTTCAATTATCTTTATAATACACAATTAACAAAATATAATTGTTAATCTATTTTTAAAAACAGTATTTAAATTAATCATGA